ATCGCGAGTGTTAATTTCACGGTCGACTGAATTATGAATTAATATAGAAAAGCTGCGGTGTGTGTTCTACGTAATAGGCACGTGTGATCGTATAGTGTGACCAGGTTACGCTGTGTCCAACAGTTACAGGTGCATTGCACTAAACCAAGCACGTATATTGTAACATAACCAAGAGAATATATTTCAGGTAAAAGCTATTCTACAACCGGTAAATTATATCGGTATTATTACGTATGAAATTATGTATTATTCGCGTGTGTTATTTTCGCGGGTTCGGTGATAGGGTTCGCGAATTCGCGAAAATTAAATCACCGCGAAATACTACAGCTATACAGTATCTCTCTCTCTCTCTGCCTCCCTCGTATTTCTCTCTCTCTCTCTCTCTCGCTTCGTCGGCTATCTCTCTCTCATCTTCTATCATCTGCTCTGCTCTTGCTCTCATCTCCTCGCCGAAGAGGGGTAATGGTTGAGAAATAGACAGGAACGGGAAGGGGATAGAGGAAGAAGGAAGACGGAGAGAGTTAGGAGTGGGAAAGTGGAAAGAGGCAGTAATGCAGATACGGACGAATGTTTTAGAAGGAAGGTAAGAGAAGGGTGAGCTCGTAAGGATAAGCTCTCATCTCCTCTCATTACTCCTCTCTTCTCGGTTCTCCTCCTCTATCTCTCTCTTTTTCATCTCTATCTCGTGCTCTCTTCTACTTCGCTCTCTTCTCACCTGCTCTCTCTCCTCCCACTCATTCTCTTCTCCCATCTCTCTCTCCCTCCCCCTCATTCTCTTCTGCTTCCTCTCTCCTCCTCTCTCTCTCTCTCTCTCTCTCTCTCTATCTTCTCTCCTCTCTCCCCTCTCGTCTCTCTCTCTCTCTTCTCTCGTCTCTCTTATCGCTCTGTCTCTCTCTACTCGTCTGCTCTGCTCTCTCGTGTCTCTCCATCGTCTCTCTTCGTCTCTCTCTCTCACTTCTCTGCTCTCTCGTCTCTCCCACTGCATTCTCTCTCTCTCGACTCCCACTTGCTTTTCTCTCCTCTCTGTTTGCTGTCTTCTCTCCTCTTCGTCTCGCTCCTCTCCGTCCCCGATCCTCCTCCCTCATCTCTTTCCTCTTGTCTGTCCTCCTCTCCTCTCCTCTCTCTCTCTCTCTCCCCTCTCTGCCTCTCCCTGTTCTCTTCTCGTCTTTCTCTCTCGTTCTCTCTCATCCGTCTCTCCTCCCTCTCTCTTCCCTCCAGGGTCTCCCCTCATCTCTCTCTCTTCTCTCCTCTCTCTCTCCTCTTCCTCGGCTCGCGAAATTGTCCGACAAGTCTTAATTTGCGAAAATATCTGTACGCGAAAAATATGGCGTATTACTGATAAACTGTACAAGGCACACACAGAGAGAAGGTGTGTTCCCTTATTTACTCGTTCATTTATTCACGAAAAGGTTTTAAATCATTACGCTTCTCTCAAGTCATACATAATCATCATTACAAATCTGGACCATTGTTTACAATGTTTTGATGCCAAGATCACTGTTATTAAAGAATTTCATTTTTTTATTCATTGGAAGTTTCGAACTCCATTGATTTAGTAGAGTTACAATGAACTGCAACAAGTGAACGTTGCGATAACAAGTGAACGTCTGTGCGCGACGACAACAGATAATGACAGCGACGCTTGGCCTGGCACTTACAGCACAGTTTCTAACAGCGATCACGTATTGAAATACTGTAAAGATACTTATTTTCGTGGGTTCCAATTTTCGTGGTTTCAATAAAAAATACATGCTCCTGGATTCTTAAATTCGTGGATCAAGCCTTCCAAGAATTTTTTTTCAAAAACAACATTATATTAAGATTCAGGCGCGTAGCCAGGGGGGGGCGTGGGGGCTGTCGCCCCCCCCNGCGATTTCTGATAGATCACCGACTATTAAAGTACACTAATAATATTTATATACACAATTGCACAGCAGATTTAATTATTCCGTATTATATATACAGCAATTCTTACTCTAACTCGAGAACAGTTTATAAAACAATTCATATCAAATATTGTAGGTTGCAAAAAATAAGGCCTATTAAGTACTTTTCTAAGATTCCACCAAAAATAAGTACTAATAAGGGCCCGTATTTTATTTTTGGCAAAATAAGTACTTATAAGACTTTGGAAGACCCGCTACGAACCCTGACTTACCGTTTCCCATCGCCTTCTCACGATACTTCTCTCTGCTATCCTTCGCCGGCCGCGGCCGCTGCCGGTGCGCCCCCCTGTGGCCGCTTTGCTGCGAATGCCGTGGCTGCAAGTGCACAAAACAAGTGAACTGTCATCGTGGAGCAGTTTGTAATAACTGCTGATGATTATGGATTTAACTACTTCGGATAATAATATACACGACAAAATACATTTCTTAACCTTGCTGGTCAGCCATGTTTATTCCAAGAGCCCATCCCACAATGCAACTGTTGAACATAACGATGAGAGCAGTCATCGTGTGATAGCAGAATACTACAGTGTTCGACTCGCGCGATGGCCGGTTTTTCATGTAGGAATAATACGCGAATCCTACACAGCCATATACGGCAATGTGTCAACGAATGAAAACACGAATGCAGACTAATTGAGTCTACATTAAATGTGAGATTGTTAAATTTGAGTTATAATATTATCCTGCATCTATATGTCCCTGCATTGCTTCCACATGAGATCGCCATCTGCTAGTGCATCGAGAGGCAGCACCGCATCACAGGGTTTTTACGCAAGAAATCCACGCGTGAAGTTTGGTTACCGCAATGAAACGAAGAAAAAATTGGAAACAAAAACGGAAAAAAAAATTAAACAAAAGTTTGCGGCAGGCACATGTAGATGGCGCCGCCTCACCTTCTTGCTGCGGTCTTGCTTGGCCTTGTCTGTGTCCTTCAACATCTCGAGGCGCCACAGCTCGAAGAAATATGTCGGGTCCGTGTAGAACTTCAGACCGTCCTTCCCATCATCCCTGTCGCCACGACAACAACAACGACGCCGTCAAGAAATTGTTTGCGGAGGGGAGGGAGAGAACTAGACAATGCGATCGAGTCACGGTGCGCTCGCAAAAACACAAGAACATTCATCTCGACAGTACATAATCGTCTTGTAACTACTATCAGCAGGTGGAAAGCAGGGGTAGAAATTCACTTTTGAACACGGGAGTACAACGGACTTCCTACCCTCAAAAAGAGGGAGTCCGCGGCAAAATGAGCGAGTCCGCAGTCTGAGGTTCACAATTAAAGATATTAACAATAACGCATGTGCTTATCTTTAAGATTCATGTGGTTGCACGTCTGCCAAATTTTCTTTGGACATTAGCTGAAAAAATACGGTAACTCCGCGAGGCCGTGCTCTGGAACGAACTAGTTAGTATGACAGAATTTTCAGGGAGTCACACGGACTCCTGCATATATGTCAAATCAGGGAGTCCGGCAGTAAATCGGGGAGTATTTGACACCGTTAATTTCGCACCCTGGGAAAAACTCAGACAGCGCAAGCAATATATTTGCGAGCGCTCACGAATACATGAGACATGCACAACCACACGCACTTAAGCCCGGCGCACACGTGGCGATTTTTATCGACAGTACCGTCGATTTTTATCGCTGGTACTGTCGATAAAAATCGCCACGTGTGCGCCACCCGGCGACAATTCAACCGTCTATCAGCACCATACCACTGTATGAACTGTACGTGACCTGTTCAAACCACACCACGGGCGCTGCCAATATTTGATCACGTGCTTCAAATCATGCATTTGATTGGTTAATCCAAAAACTGTTGCCGAGATCCATCGCCAGTGCGGCGCACACGTAGCGATTGTTCAGCGACTGGGCAACAAATATCAAACCAGCGACGAGTTTCTGGCGTCAAAATCGGTGACGCCGGGCAGCGCACACGTGGCGATTTTTATGGACAGTACCAGCGATAAAAATCGACGGTACTGTCGATAAAAATCGCCACGTGTGCGCCACCCGGCGACAATTCAACCGTCTATCAGCGACATACCACTGTATGAACTGTACGTGACCTGTTCAAACCACACCACGGGCGCTGCCAATATTTGATCACGTGCTTCAAATCATGCATTTGATTGGTCAATCCAAAAACTGTGGCCGGGATCCATCGCCAGTGCGGCGCACACGTAGCGATTGTTCAGCGACTCGGCAACAAATATCATTCCAGCGACGAGTTTCTGGCGTCAAAATCGGTGACGCCGG